GAGTGGACAGAAAATTAGACCTGAATATACAGTGCATCATGGCAGTAAAATGGGCAAGAAGGTAATTGTCTCTCCTCATGCTATGCTGGTGTACTACATATGGAATATTATGTTCATTTCTGGCCACCTCATTGTCAGAGATATATTGATAAACTTGAAGAAATTCAGGGAAGAGCTGGAAAAACTATCCGAGAAGGGCCTGACTAATGAGGAAAGATTCTAAAAAGCTGAATATGTATAATTTGGCTAAGTGATGATTAAGGCCCTGGTTCTCCTCTCACTTAGATCAAAGGGAGTTACACCAGGGTGTGATTATGACTCAGGGAAGCAACTCATGATTTACACCAGCGAGAGAGAGAAGAATCTAGGCTTTAGCGCTGCAGAGCACTGAAACATCAAGGAGTAAGGGCAGAATTATTTATGGTGCTAAATTTGGAGTAACTTGGTGAAATAAAGGGAATGTTTAAGTTGAATATTAGGGAACGCTTCCTAATATTCAGGGGGATGGATGACTTGATGATTACCTGTTATGTTCATTCCCTCTGAAGCACTTGGCATTGGCCGCTGTTAGAAGGCAGGATACTAGTGTAGATGGGCCAATCGTCTGACCCAGTATGGGTCTATGGGTCTGTAGAATAGTTTCCAGGCAAGTGGCTTTGAACATGTTAAAGCTAGATGGAAAAACCTAACTGGCCACCTGTCCATTCTACTGTAAATCTAAGATTATTTTCTACAACAAATGTACTAGTACATTTTCCAGTCTCTGATTTCAGAAAACCATTAGTGAGACAAAACTAGAGCCCATTATGGGGTGCAGTCTGCATGACTGAGAAAAATATATTCTTCCACTTTCTAAGACAAAGAACTGAACATTTTGAAGTCAGAGATAGGAAATCAAACACAATGTAACAAGGGAGATCAAAAGATAAACTGTTAACATACAGTATATATAACAGGGTATACAGGGCACTTCTAAGAGAGACCTTAGGTAAAACGTCCTTCATTCTGGGTCACGAAATTAAGCATTCATTTATAGATTTGAGACCCAAACCATTGTTTGATGAGTGAATAGTGGGTTGTGAGTAATGCAAAGAAATGAATATAACTGAAGTATTATAGTAAGCAAACTGGTCAATTCCTGGGTTTAAGCATAGTGGTTGAAGCAACAGATTTTGCTTCACATATGGTTCTGATTCTCATCTCTCAGGTGTCCATTTGGAGTAGCCTCACTGAAATTTAAAGGTTTAAGGGGAATCGAGTCTGAAGATCTTACATGTAAACAGAACATCTCATTATGAAAAATCCTAAAGCCCTTTTATAGACTGTATATGAAAGAATTTATTTACTTGCCACTGAAACATGGCAGCAGTTGTTGGGATTTAATCTTCCTTGAGAGGGAATAAAATACTTATGGGAAGCACAGTCTCTGCCTGCTCCTCCCATGTTATGTCACCGTGTACTTGAGTGATTGAGTTACTCTATACTGCACCTGAAATTCTAGAGAACAGCCTGCCTTAAATCTCTCATTTTTAAGATGGGTATCACACATGCAGAGCTCAACCTTGATTCACGGTCTTTATTTGGAAAGTGAGGATGTGACGGGTTCTGATTTCAGCTGAAAGCTCACAATTAGCTATTTCAAGGACAAGCAGTTTCCTCCACATGGGCAGTGTGTCCTAAAATTTCACTTTATCCATATCCTTCTCTGTTAATAGTGGTTGACTTTCAGAGAGGACACATATGGGTGGCAGACCTATTATGGAAGCAGACTTCAGCCCCATCAGAGCAGGTTTTGGTGTAGGATCTCAGGTGCTTGTTTTGGAGAAACCTTGTTGAATTGGGGCCTAATAGGTGGTTGCCTATTTTAAAAATGTGCCTCATAGGGATGTAAATAGCATTTTAAAAAAGTAAACGTTTAAACTATTAAAATTGTACTGGTTAAATGTTTAACCATTAGACTCCATTGCCAGCTCTGGGGTCCCGGCTGCTGGCCCTGCGCAGAGCCCTGGGCATGGGGGCGCCGGCAGTAGAGTCCCGCAGCAGAGTTTAAATGCTAACCGGAATTAAATGCTTACCGATATGACTCATGCTTATCGGTTAGCCGGTTTACATTTTACATCGCTAGTGAGTCACCCCTTTGATGTCAATAGGATTACTTGTATGCTTAAAGTTAGGGCACACAGTTAAGTGCTTTGCTGAATCAGGGCCACAGGGGAGCATATTGCTTTTTGATGTTCTTGACATGCAGCAGAATCCATTATAAAGCTAACATTTACTAACTGTTACAAAGCACTAACTGCAGATCTCTCGAATTGTAGTTATAAGGGAAAATCTGTGATACTTGCAGATATTTTCTGTGTGGAACCTATTGGCAAATTCTAATATTTTAATGGCACTCCATGCACTCCTTGGGAGTGGAGTGGTCTGCATGTCTAAGATTAAAACATCTGAACTTGCATCGTTGATCTTGATGGATACTCACAACAGAATCTGGTTAGTAATGTTGTAAGTCTTGCATGTTCCATGCTATCTTTCCTTCTACTGAGATAATTAGTACTTAAACTTGCATGTAGTTTTCGTCTATGTATCTTGTAAGTTGTGTTGGTTATGAGATCTTATTTTCTGTAACAATGTGTATATTTTGTTTTTTGTTTCATTTTAATATTTCTAGTCTTTTAAAAAATAACTCCTTGAGTGAACATGTGTTTTATGTATTATGTCAAACTTAGACGTACATTGAAATATTATCCTTTTGGAATCATAATATTTTGCCTTCATGTATAAATACTCGTTGAAATCACTGTCTGCGAAGCATTTACTATATAGTATTTACCCAGACGCTACTGTGGTATTGAGTGATAAAGTGCAGATTTTCCCATGGAAAACTGAATTCAAAGAACTAGCCCTTTGTATTAAATTTTCTCATAGTAGTATGAGCCACATGAAAGCACCATTACCTAATATTCTTCTACACAGAAGGTGATTGCATTGTCAAAGACTGCCGGTGAGTAATTGCAGATAGTCTTGCCAGAGTGTGACTAACCGGGTGCAAAATTTTAGATTAAATCATTTACAAACTAGTAATGGGTTTTCAATGCACACATTTGTCTAGATTAAAACATAAAAATGTGCTTACATTTACATATGGACAATGTATATCTGTGTATAGTGTGTGTATTTATATGTATGGATATAAACACATACAATAACCTTTTGGAATGTAATACACTATTTTTATGAGTTTGGAAGATGGCATGCCTGGGTGGCATGAGGAAGTGGGTGAGAAGCAACTGGATCTCATGAGAGAGAATAAAGCACACTTCAGCCAAGACACATTGCTGTTTTACAGAAGTGAGTTTTGGGTAGTTGTAACAACATTTTATCTAAATATTGAGAGAGAGTCTCTCTCTCTCTCTCTCTGTCTTCCTCCCCACCCCATGATCTGCGGTGGATTTTTCTGTGGTGGTCTTTTGAGTTCTAGGTTTTCCCTTTGAACTTTAGCATTTTGTGTGATAAACAGCTGTGGGAAATCCTGTGCCCAAAAGGAAATTTCCTGCTGGAGAAGACCAAGCAGTATTTGCACTGGTTTTCTCCTGGGGGTTTCAGCTGGGGTGGTACAAGGTGCAGTTTTAAGTTGCGTTCTGGTCTCCCCCACCCCTGCTTGCACCTATCTGTGCATCCCCTGGCATGTTGGCTGTTTCCTTTCCCCCTGCTAGGGCCTCACACTTTTGATGTAGCACTGGTTGCCTGTAATCATCTGTCACCATTGCTGCTCTTACCCCCAGACAGATTTTTCTGCCCTGTGGCTTGGGATACACTATCATAAGACATGGCCAAGTCAAGCCCACAGTACCTAAATTATACAGTGCAGAGTTATGTTTATGCTCAGTGCAGTGTCTTTACAGAACTTCTATGCTAGCAGCTTTGTGTAAATGCTGTTCAGGGCAGAAGTAGAGTGGAACTGGGTCAACCCAGTGGATGGACTATGACATCAACCTGCCATTCTGCCTTTAAAAGCCCCAGTCAAAATCGTACTGTATTTCATCTGTATTTCTTTTTCCTCTAATCTATATTCAGCACATTTTGTGTTTAAAAAGTCCAGAACTCAGAATTTCACATCTATTTTTAGCACCAAACTACTTGGTGAAAACCAAATGCACCACCAAATAAGTGAACTGTGTAAAAGTACTGTTCTAATTAAGCATAAGTCATAACCATTCTCTGTTAGCTTATGTCTGTGCACTGGGAGAGATTTCAACAGGACAGTCATGCCACCTAAGTGCTTCACTTCTAATGTCCTCTATTAGCGGGATACAATAATAAAATACCGTCTACATTGTGTACATGGAAAGTAACGTGATGGTCACAGAGCCAGTTTCCTAACAGGCAAGTATCTGTCATCTAAAAAAAAAAAAAAAAAAAAAAATGCTGGTGGCAGCCTAGTTATTGTTTCCAAAAGGTAGACCCTGGGTAGAGAGAGTAATCCATTTTCTTACCCTTCAAAGTGATCTATTAGAACAGGGGTAGGGCACATTTGTAGGGAAGTGTTTCCGCTTGTCCAGCTGCACCGCCCATGCCATATCTCTCCTGTGAAAAAAGAGAGGATCTCAGTCTGCCTGGCATGGTGGTCCAGTGGTATGAATATTGATTATGTACAGTGATGGCAATATGCTGTCATCCTTCATGAGTGCTAGACTGACAAAATATGAAAAGTCACCTGAAGAACTGGAGGTGACAGCCGTACCCACATCATGGAATTCTGCTTTGCATTGTCTATAAAACACACATCTACAATATCCAAACAGCTGGTGGAGACCATTAAATGAGAGGATTATGAAATAGTACCATTCTAGTTTATAAATTTTTCCTCCTCTTTTTAGCTCTCCAGCTTTCTAACTGAATCTTAGTTTGTTTTTATATATATAACATAAAATATTATATGTATGATATTTTTCCAAAATCTAAAATACTCTTTTTTTTTTTTTTTGGTCACGTTTTAGGAGGTTTTTCAATGGGAGGTGGCATGGCAATGCATTTAGCGTACAGGTATCATCAAGATGTGGCTGGAGTCTTTGCTCTTTCTAGCTTTCTCAATAAGACATCTGCTGTTTACCAGGTGAGTGAATGCCAGTCTTTTTACAAATGCCTTTTGGAGCACATACAAATTCCACCTAAAAAGATAAACTGATAATTAGGCAAAAACAGTTGAAGCACGGCGTTACCTGGGGAGTGGAATTGATTAGCTCCAGGTGGTCATTAACTGCAGGGAATGTTCTGCACTGAGAACATTGGTAAGCAAAATATCAGGGAATAAAGGTTTAAAAACTACTTTTATCTTTACATATTGTTTATTTGCTTACTTTTGCAGTTTCACTGCTATTATACTGTGCAAAGTATGCCAAGTGTGCGATGGAACATTAGACAATCAAATTATTTGTTTAGTTACATGGCATCTTTAATTATTGTACCTATTATTTGAGAATGTCTAGCAGATTATAAAGGTCATGGGCTCCATTCTGCTGTATTCAGGTCAACATGAATCTTTCTGTTCATGTTACGTGGAGCAGGATCAAACGCTGCATGTAGCTTTTTGCAGTTGTAAATGGAGCTTGTTTAGCACATTGGAATTCCATATATAAAGTTTTCATATATCAACATTTGCATCTTCTAAAATCCATATTTGAACTCTTTTTCTTCCCCCATCTAGGCTTTACAGAAAAATGAAAGTGTCCTTCCTGAATTATTTCAGTGTCATGGAACAGCTGATGAGTTAGTTCTGCACTCGTGGGGTGAAGAGACCAACAAGATGTTAAAATCATTGGGAGTAGCAACATCTTTTCATAGTTTTCCAAATCTTAATCATGAGTTACACAAAACTGAACTGGAAAAATTGAGCTCCTGGATTGTAAAGAAATTGCCTGTGGAGACAGCAATGTCAAATGAATAAATGAAATTAACTTAACATTTCAAAATAACATGTTTATGTATAGCAAGGGCTTGCCTACATTAACAGTTAATGCACAACAGGCTAGTGTGAGGTAAATATACAACCCAGCTTGCCATGCACTAAGTGTCCGTGAGGATCCTGCTGCCTCACTAGTTCCCTAGTGCACTTTGGTCTACCCTGCTTTGAAACAGGAGTAGATCAAAGTGCATAGGGAATGGTTAGTACATGGCAGCATGGTCCATTAGTGAATGGAAAACTGGGGTGTGTGTCTACCGCACACTAGCCTTCATCACACACAAGCCCTAAGAGTGTGCATCATTTATTTCGTAAATATAAATCCAGCTTCAGATAGACACTAATGTTACGTACAACTTTCTTAAAACCTAGCCTGGATGATGATAAACTACTGATACTTACTGATGTTTTTACTGTCCAATATGCAAAACATGGAAGCTACAACATTCTGTGGAAGATACTGAGAGTATTAAAACCATTTATAAATGGCCCAAACTCTTTTCAAAACTTTAATATATAGTGTTCCATGATTTTCCACATCATCCTATTTTTATTCCAAGCTGGAAAAATCTGTAATAGTTATTTTTTTAAAAAAAGTATAAAAATAATTTTACAGCCTACAAATGTAGCAGTGTGTAATATGATTCAAGTTACATTTGAGGAAAAAAAATTATGGTGCCATTCCTGCAAAGACTTAAGCGTGTGCTTAACTTTACACACTGAGTAGTCCCTTAGAGTGCACTGCAGTAGTCTAAGCAGGAAGGTACAAAAGTATGGATAGCAGTGGCACAGTCCGCAACTGAAAGAAAAGATCACAACCAGGGCAGCTGGCAAAAAGGGAACATGGTTACTGCTATAATATGGTCATCAAACAGCAGCTGTGGTCTAAAATACCCCTTGGTTGCTAACCCCAGTAATTAATGTCCAACGTACTCCCTCAGTCAAAGGGTCTGATATCACCTCTGCCATCTCCACTTGCCGCAACCCCCCATCATCATGGCAGTCTTGCTCACTTTCATTCATGCCCCGACCTCAACTAGACCCTGGCTAGGGGGCCTAACCTCACTGTCCAAGTCAGGCCTTGAACACGTTACTTATATCCTCCCCGTGGCCCAGTTTAATCATCTGTAATCTTCAGAGTGTACTTCTTAGAGCACCTGTTCCATAGAGATTTTCTGAAAATTAATATTTTCAGAGTTTTGAGATTATTGGACGATTCATGACCTTTTTGTACCATAAAGACTGATTAACATAAAACCCTTTCCAGGTTGTGTGTAAATCATAACATATCTATTCAGGAGTTGGATAACACTTACCTACTTCACAGGTGTGATGATAGAGTAGAAATGGGCACAAAATCTGTATCCAAACATCTTCCAAAATGTAGTGAAATCCAGATCTGGATCTGACCTTGGTCACAGTTGGTCTCTGTACAATGGGACTAAACAAAACTCCAGGTCCACTATGGTGTTTAATAAAGGGAACCAAAGTAGTCCATTGATATTACAAAATGAATCCTGGTTCTCGTGACCGTCCTTTCTTTGTAACTATTCCTATTCTCACCATATTTGTTCCAATTTCTTTGAGCTGCTCTCGGATGTCATTAGAAAGCCATAATGGCAGGATGAAAAGAGTTTGTCATCTCTCTTCATCTCATTGTGCCTGTCACCAGAATGAGTTACCACCCAATGTTAGTGCTTAACAAATTCCCATGACAGCAACTGTAATAAGAGCAGAAAACAGTACAAAAACCAAACTGATGCATCGTCATTACACTTTTAAGAGACTACTTGTCACAGGTTGTAATTATGGCTGTGCTAAGGCAATGTTAGCTCAGCTGCTTCAGCACACACCTGTTTCAACTTAATCTGCGATAATTAGGAAACGTAGGGCAGCAAAGAAAAAAGCTTTTGAGTTACTATTTCAAATAGTAAAGTTTGTGTGCCATTTAATGTCCTGTGTTTCAGAGCAGACTGCTGACTTGCTAATGCCAGTGAAATGAAATAACGCAAAATATTTTTAGCAGCAGGAAGTTGTTACTTGCTACTGCCAATTACATGCCTTGTACTTTAATGCTGACACTTTTTTTCCTTCCCTTACTCTTCAAGATAGGTGAAAGCTTGCTTAGGGCCAAACACACCAGGGTAGAAAGAAACCTCTCAGCCCCGTGGAGTTGGCTGACCCCACTGAAGCCATAGCCAATACTGGCAGTGATTTCTGGGACAGAGCATACAACAGTGTCCTAAATCTGCTCTTCAACAAAGGGGGAAGGAGGAGGTTAAGCAAGAGACTTGGGTGTATTGACTTTGGCAACACAAATACCTTGTCATGCCAATAAAGTTATTGAATTTGGGGAGGGGGAATTGGGGCAAAGTGGAAAATACAAAGGAAAAAATGAAATAGGAATAGATTTATCAGACACTGACACAGGGTTGAATATAAATAACAGGGACATGAGGTTTCTTTGTATCATTGTTATTTACAGCTCTTTTAAATGCACACTGAGGACTCAAGTGTCCTCATCTTTTAGTTTAAAATGTGATCCTGCAGGCTCCAAAATACAATTGTTGACAAAAATATAAGTCTACAGACGCTCTTCCCAAAGAATGATTTTTTTCCCCCCAAAACAGGGTATATTTAAGAACCATTATGGCATCTTTCACTCTATTATTCCCTATACCTAAAACAAAACAAAAAAAATACGGCTTTAACAGCTATTCCAAAACTAGACCCCGAAATATCACCACAATGATAGTACATAGCAAGCATCAGTGCTGAAGCTAAAGACATCTCATTTTAACACAAACCTCAATGATTTCTGTGAAGTGCAGTACAACCCTGTATATGTGTGTTTAACTTTAACTTTACATACGGCTACACCTTAAAACCATTCAGAGGCTGAAAGCAATGTGGCTCACTTGCTGAGAAGGTCGGCTCACTGGAGCATATGAAACCACTACTCTGGGATCTCCTCTGGCTGCCTGTTGGTCTCTTGGTGGAGTTTAAGGATGTGCTTCCCTGAATGACAGAAGGCTGGACTGTCAGGAGTTCCTTTTTGAATAATTAATACTGTGGGGTTGGTGGTGTTATATTATGTGTTAGGGTACCTAGAGCTTTGTACACGTGGCTCATTTTAAACTTTAAATCAAAATAAATGAAACACAATAATTCATAGCAGGAATGGAATCCAGCAGTTCCAATTCCCAATCCTTGACTTTCAAATATCCATGTATTATTGCCTTTCATCTGAAAATGTTCAGATGTCAGTGAGCCAAGTGCACTTTGAAGGCAATGGGGATATAGCAAGGAAATATTTGGGAAACTAGATTTTTATTATTCTGTGGGTGCGTGCTCACATCAGTTTTTTTAGGTGCTTCCTCCTGATGGAGGGGGAGAGAAAATATATTTAATGACCCACTAGCCTAGGTCGTAAGAAGGGATAAAAAGCAGAACCGTGAGCTACCAAGCACAGGTGTAACACCATGAGCTTTTAACAGTAGCAGGATCTTATCGTCTTACGTGGATCAGTCACTGACGAAGAACAGGACACAATTAGCCAGCATGTAACATATGTTCTCAGTAGTCCTTCCAAATATCACTTTTTTCAAAGTTAGATAGTCTGTCCTTTCACTTTTGGGCTTGAAAGCCATTTGGAAAATATGAAAAAATAACTGAATGGATTTAACTGTTCAGGTTCCTGATACCTGCTGGAGCTTGCTGCTATTTTAGTAAGGTTCATAATTCAGTGAGCAAAAGAAAATTAGTTTAAACTAGGCTTATTCTCTTGGGCTCAGTAAATGTTTTCTGTGCTGCTTGGAAACAAGGCACAAGTGTGTGTTTTGTTTTTAAACTTCTGTAATTATAAATTTGTATTTAAAAGAGGTTTAAAATGTGTGAATAGATTGGTGCTATGAACTGCAATCCTTCCTGACTAACTAGCATGTTACTGCAGACACTTGGAGCCAGAGACAGTCACAAATAAACCTGAAATCAGCTGATCAACCTGGGAAGCCAAAAATGATTGGTAACCTTATTTTTAATATCAAAATTATGAGTTCTGCACTTACATTAATCTCTCCTCCTGTTAAATCATAACACTCAAGGTTTGGTAGTAAATCATCTTTAAAACCATTTAACAAGTCTGTGCAGATGAAGGGAGCCAAGTGGGTGAACAGAACTTCCATGCACAAAGATGAGATCCAGATGGCAAAGCGTGGAAATGGGGATCTGTTGGAATTATGCTAGCCAGAAAACTGTTAAGACATGGATGGAGGAAGGTAGTAGATATCTGTTTTTTGGTCAAAGATCATGCTCCAGGAAAGCAAAGGAGGACAGCTGGGAGAGGTTTTAGAAAATGTCCCGTCTGAAGAGAAATTGAACCTTCCCTTTTCTGAGATGAACTTGGGTTAACCTACATTAATAAGATGGCTAGCTACAGCTTCACATGCAGACTTGAAAGGAAACACTACAAGTACTAGTTCATGCAGTTTCTGGGTAGTTTGACCCCAAAAGAATCTGGTGGTTCTGTTTTCAATTTGCAGATTCCCTAACATCTGCACAGATGCCCCTTGTGTATGCTACTGCCTGTCCCACTCCCTCATGTCCACCCAGAGATAGCACAACTCCTGCAGGAGCTATGCATCCAGTGGGTCCCCCTTAGTACAGGACAGAGGGAAAAGCAGTGCCAATTAATATACACTGTGCTAATGTGCTAAGATTTCCCTGACAGATTGAGGGGATGAGCACCTGGAGTAGCCCAACCGACTGCACGACAGTCTAGGTGTTTGAGACAGCTCGCCACAGGAGAAGCACTACCATGCAGGATGCTTGCATTTATAAATGATTACAGTGTGGCGCAGGGTATACTGGTGGTTCAAAGCCAGGCTCTGATTAGGCAGTTACGCTTTTCTGTCCAAGCCAGACACTAAAGCCCAATGATGCAAAACCAGGACTGAGTCACTAAGTAAAACAAAAAACAACCCTCCAACCCCCCATTTTCTAGGTGAAGGAAAACAGATATAACTTTTTTTTTAATGTCTGTGTATTTTAGCTGTAACTCCCTTATCTTATGCCCTAACTATTCTCAAGTGCTGCTAACATTGGCTGGATTGGAACAGCAAGTGTCTGCTTCCCTTTTAAAGAAAAGGAGTACTTGTGGCACCTTAGAGACTAACAAATTTATTTGAGCATGAGCTTTCGTGAGCTACAGCTCACTTCCTCGGATGCATTTGACTCACAACTCTGAGCTTCTCCCACACAGCATTTTAAAGAGAAGGGGTAGGGTAAGGAGAGAGAAGATGAATAAAAATAAACTTGGGGAAATGACAGCAGGGATTTTCAAAGGAGCCAAAGTGAAATATGTGCCCAAATCCCACTGAAATGGGATAGGATTTGGAAATTTAACTCCCATAGGCTCCTTTGAAATCCCAGCCTACACTGGCTGCTGGCTCTTAGTACTGATCGTGAGAAAATGAGACAGTGAGAATTAAACATCCCTATTGGACCACAAATGGCATCTGTAAAGGCAGCCAGGGTCCTGGGACCAGGCATGGAAGAGCAGATCCAAATAATTCAGGTAACCTGGGATTAAAAATAATAAAAATTTAAAAAGCAGTGACTAGAGGTTAAAATAGGTGAAAGAATTTGACCTTTTCACTGCTTTGTACAGGGGCTATATTTTGTGGTGGCAGAATATATAGCATAAGCTCCTTGAAACGGCTTTTTATTTTAAATGAAATGCAAGAATAAGGAGAAGTAACCTAATATAAGATACAGGACAGTTGATCACCTACTGGTACACTTGTTAATGTAGTTGAAAGCACTTGGCAAAGTGTAGGATGGTAACCATGCTGCACGTTCTGTTCTATATAGGTTTTTATACCAGGCATGTCATCGTAGTATCTGATGCTATGACTTCCAGTAGTGCATTAAGCCACATGACTGCACATCCGTCATGTGGTGTTTGTTCTCTCATCCAAAGGAAGAAGCATGTGCAATTGAGTGTCTTGTTTTGGAAGTGTGTATATTTTGGGTCTTTTAAATATAAATATACCTGTTGCTATATGTTCGTTGGAGAAGAAAAAGTCAAAGAAAAGTTCCTTGCACTCGCCTCAGAAGGTGGTGAGGTTTGTAATGGTCCTTAGTTCTCGGAGGGGTACATTTTACAGGATCAGACCAGCCCCTGAGAAAACCTTGTCTCCTGAACAGTCGAGCTTTACTCACTTCAGAGAGTTCCATTGTGCCAGAGGAGTTGAGCTATCAATCGCTGTCTTAATCCTGGAGCTTTAGACAATCAGACTGTAGTGTGAGTTGACTAGTAGTGAAAAGATATACTTGTCACACAAAGTTTGAGACATCCACACGAGCTCTGCACATTCCTTCTCTAGCTACCTGGAACCAGAGGGAGCAGCAGTCTAGATAAGCCAGGCCAGTTTTTGCTACTTAAACCTGCTGCTCTGTTGACTGGTCATGGTCTACTGGTCATGTATCTACACTAGGGCCCCTATTCAGCAAGATACTTAAGCACATGGCTAACGTTAAGAATGTGAATAATCCCACTGACTTCAGTCAGAGCCTACGGTACTTACTGATGTTGTCCCAGGCTGAAATAGTACTAGCACTAATGGGAATTTTACAGAAAAATGTAGCCAAGGTAGGTATGTAGGTAGGTATGTATGGCTATGTAGGTAGCCAAGGCCTTAGTTATGTGGATCAGTGACACCCAAAGTAATCTTGACCAT